CGTATTGGTGATTTCCTCTATTATACTACACAGTTCACATATCGGTGTTTGTATTATCGAGACAAAATAGAGACTTCTCTCTAGAGTGTTCCAGACATTACAGGATAGAAAACTTGTCATTTGCTACAAATCATTATGGCAAACCTGATTTTACCATATTTGATTGCATTTCAACAAATGCTGATAAGAACCCATGCCCTGCGAAAGGACGTGCGGGCTTCAGAGTTTAGAAATATTTCATAGTAGACTGTTTATTGAAACTAGATGCAAATTATGTGGATGAACTCGATACACAAATAAGTCCAACAGTCCCAAATCAAAACATTGACAGACTTGGTTTCAAATAAAATGTCGTGGTGCATTAGATAAGGAAACCACAGACCATAGAGGAGGGGAACTGCAAAAAGTTGCATTACAATATGTTGTCCATGGGAATAGTTTAGTTAAGTATCCAGAATGCCAAAAAAAACCGCATACAAATAGAATATTTTGCAATAGTTCCCATAAAAGGAAAGAGAATACGGAAGAAGAAGAAAAAAATTATGCTGAGTGGAATAAGATGATTGACACAACTATTGACACAGATTTTGCGAATCAATCCGTATGCTATAGCAGCATAAAGAATATTTTAATTATTCAAATAATTGTTTATTTCTCCGCCTATCTTTTTTTATTTTTCGACTGGAATCATTACGTTTCTAGGAGAGTTCCAGAGATTTCTTTTAAAACTGAGAATTGCTTTTCGCTGTCTTCTTAAAAGAGATGATACGATGCATCCATCATAACTTTTTAGTCAAGGTCTCTTAGCTTTTTTCAATTATACGAGATTTGTATGGTTTGAGGATCTGATGATAGACAATAACTTCTCTTAGTTGCATCTAGACTTCTTATTTGTTTCAAGAGCATTGAAAAAACTTATATCAGTCATTTGGTCAAGGATTAATGATATAAGAGCCACATTAAGTAGAGTGTCTCGGGCACGGTATGAGTAAAATTGTAAAATTGAGATTGAGAAAAAAAGGATATATCGGTTCAAAATCCGGCATGAGAGTCGGTGTATTTGTGCCTCGGCACTAAGGCAAAACAGTGTTGTTTAGTAATAAGTTTTGGAGAAGAAATGGCAGTAAACAACACAGCCTATTTTATAAACCAACCTTATTTTGTAATCTAATTATCACACTTTCCGATTTTAAGGAAAGGCGTAAGTACTGTCAACAATTATTATAAGATAATATAATAATAAGTTAACTTAATTACAACCTCCATCAGTTTTTTCTTCCTGGTTATTTTTAGTGGCAAATTGAAAGTGAGTATATCTTCATTTCCTTTAAAATTTAGGCACAACCAAAAAGTACCAAATAATTGTAAAAATACGAACAGTCCACATAACATGCATTTTCGACATAGCCCGAAAGAGCCAATTTTGCTGTGCCCGAGACGCTCTATATAACATGGTCGTAATTACCTTACTATCGTGTCAAAGACGCAATATTGTTTTATTTTATTTATTTTTCCATTTCCCATTTTCAGCTTTCATTTTTTCTATTTTCCTGTTGGTTGCAGTTCCTCGCCAGAAGAGTATGTATCCTTTATACTGCTTTTCTTCATTAGTGATTACTCATTTTTTGCAAACCACAAAGAATCTTATTTAGCATATAGGTATGTGTAGTATGACGGCTCGAAAACTCATTAAAAAAGTACTTCCTTAACCACCATTTCTTTCTGGTAATCTAAGTTGAGTAACCGCAGCGAAAATGTGTGATTATTTAAGTTTCCATAGTTGCAACAGTGACTGCTGAAAGGAATGCACATTTTCTCTGCATGGGTTAACCAGCATATTATACATTATATAAGTAATTTTTAATCATGATTAATTAGTTGAAGAAAGTGAAGGTAGTTGCGCCTTGTAACGAACTCTAGGGCAAGAGCTCCTATATCCTATAAGGATAGAGAGAAGAGAGGACTAGAGAGAGGAATACTTACTTACTTAAGTAAGGGAAACACGAACCGGTGTCTTGAAACCTGTCCATAGAAGCACTAAGATAAGAGTAATTGTAGGCTTTTTCATTCCCTTCAACATTTCTAAGTTGAGGAATCCATAGAGATGCAATATTAGTGAGTCGATTTAATCTGCCCATTTCTCTGACTAAGCATTGTTTCAATAATAAAAAAATAAAGAGTTTCAATTGCCGCTACGATGTCCATGGAATGCTAACTTTACCCTAAAATGGGGTTTTGTAATGAACCGATATGCATTTGGAATTGTTAAAGCTTCAGCTTCTGAAACCGTATGCGATAAGACTGATATATGTCTGCGAAAGACGAGCACATTCTGTGCCTACCGCGTTCTTCATACGTGTACAATATTATTTTCCGGAAGCAATCTATACCACCTGTTGCTATCCATGTACTTCAAAAATGACTGGATGTCGTTCGTTCTCAACGTTTGTTCGCAATTGGAAATCTAATTAATTTTCTCCAACCTTATCTATAATTTTATCGACTTTTTCAGTGATTAACTGGTCAAAACGAATAATATATGTACTGATACATAACAAAATTTTTCTTCAATAAAACATTTACTAATAAATAACTAATCTGTCATCTCTGAAAAAAATGCTTGCTGGAACTAATCGCTTCGAAGTCACTACACGTCAAAGTCAAGCGAACAGATAGAACGCCGAATACTTTTTAACCAACTCAATACCTATATAAATACAGAATTATCACTGCAGTATCTTGTATCTTTGATTAAATAACCTCACCTCAAAAGGGCGCTCCTGCTTCGGGTATCTTAGAACGCGCTTGCCTTGCCTATCACTGAAATTAATTACTCGTTTGTCATGTGCGTACTGCCATGTGGAAATGACTCCATATCAATCAAAGGCAACTTAAGTTATCAATATTTAAATGTTTTTTATGGCCACATGTGAATGAATCCGAAAAATGTTTTGTATATATTTATGAACGTACATATCTTCAATATAAAAATGCTTTACTTAAGCCAAATTATTTTCGAGTATAATTTGTTTAACGCAATTACGATTTCATTCCGCAAACAGTCGCGAAAAGCACATTGTGCCGGGAAAACGTGTCAGTTCGGTAAATTATTGGCAAAATTGACTTCAAGAACTTTCCACGTGTAACGAAATGCATGAAAGTTTCTTAATTAGCAACGAAAGTGTCAAATGTCAAATTTTCTGTAACTCCGAAAATTTGAAACACTCCGAAGTTTTATTGAAGTTCTATGCCTGCTATACGGACGACTACGGCTGATTTTGACTGTTTCCAATTTAAATATTTGGATGCTGACCCAACTTCAAGAAGCAAACGGTAAGAGCTGTCACATGTTAAGTAATTTGAAAAGAAAAATTTGGTTTTATTGGTTTTTTCTGAGTGTATTGACTTTGTTTTCGGAAACACGTTATTGGAATTACATATGATAGAAAATATTATGAACTGAATTGGTTTCATAACTATTGGATCTATAGTTATAAGAATCGAAATGACAGCATGTTAATTTTTCACCCTGTTTTTCAAGTCTTTTTAACTTTCGGAAAGTTGCCTTCTGATTTAAAACTGATAATCTACAAGCGTTACGCATAATTATAAGATTTTACTGTTTAGTTCTCTTTGACAATTAACTAAATCCTTTTCTTATTCACGCATTTAATGAATATAACTTGCCTATGAATTGTGGTTCATTATATCATTTCGGCATTACTTTGAAACCACTCCAGCTAGGCAACTCGCACTTAATCACACTTTTTGTCATAAACAAATTCCTGAGTCTCTACTGATATCAGTTATAAATGTAGTTAGAAGTGCCTTCGTAAGTTATCTTTGCTCTTTGACTGCGACTATGTTCGCAAGTTTACTATATGTACAATAACTATTAAAGTCATCTTCTCTAAATGGCTTCCCATTTTTACTTCTGGCAAATCGTTTTTGGGATATTTCTTATCCATGCCATCTAATAGCTATGTAAAGAGAGAGAGAGAGAGTTAAACTACTCATGTCGCTTATAAGCACGTACTCCACATATAGGTAACAATTTCGACAATTGAACGCAAGCAAATAGATTTCGCATGAGTGCATGCTTGCGTCGTAAAGCGAATATTCGGGTGGAATGAAACGCACACAAACAAGAAAATTAACAAATCAATTGAGAGTAGCTTGTGTGGTTTGCAAAAGACCTATAGTATTCTGAAGAAGATAGAACAACAGAAGAGTGTTGTTCTTAAAGTTGGTGCGTATGCGTTCCTTGGATAGAATGGACTGAAGAGAAAGCTGTGTCACCACTAAAATCAATTATTCACCAATCACCAATCTTCATTTCTCCCACTACTTTACATAGCGCTGCGTGAGACCCATATTATAATTTCTTTGTTTGAAAGATTCACTCGATATATTTTCAGGATATTGTGCTACTTTTCAGACTTTTTCGATTTTTCCTTACTTCTTTAATTATTCTTTTTCTCATTTAATTATTTTAATTACCTGATTATCTCTTTGATTATCTCTGTATTTCATGTCAAGGTTTGTCCGCATTTTTATAATGGATTTATCTTAATTCCTAGAACTGGCAATGTATATGCATATATATATATATATGTTCTCTGATTTTACTGATTACATAAAATCGTAAATTATATTGTGTTTTATATATATCTAATCCAACAACAAATCTGAACTAATCCAATCTTCTGATTTTAATACTATTTGTTTTTTTTGTTTTTTTTTCATTTATTTTCCAGTACACGGGAAAAAATTTTTTGCACTATACAAAAAACAAAAAACAAAAAACAAAAAATAGAAAACACAAAACAGCAACAAATTTGTAAAAAATATTAATTTGAGCAAAAAAAAAAAACAAAAAAAAATAAAGAAGAGGAATAGTAGAAAATCTGAACAAAACTTCCTGCCGCTCTTTGAGAATTATCAGCGCCCGTGATACTTTTATCTATCAAATGTTATCTTTATCTTCGCTCATGCACGTTAGCCCGTGGATCTGTGCTTATGTGTGTATGTAGCGCAAGCGTGTGCTTACTACATGTGTACACACCAACACATGTGCGGTTGTGTGTGCACGCAGAACAATAGCAAGTAAGGCAGTAGATCGCTTTATTATGACAAGAAAGTATCAATTCCACACAATCTGATGAATGTGTATATCGGATTTAAGATAAGCAGATCAAGATCTCGACGACAAGAAGAAAATCATTTTATAAAACTTTAGTATAAGCGATTATACGATTTTAGTCTTCCCACAGACACCGAACCGTAAGATACTGTGCAACTACAACACTACAACAACTACAACAACTACACAACAGCAGCAACAACAACACACCGCAAACAAACAAAAGACAAGAGTTGCACCGAAATAAAAAACAAAAAAACAATAACAAAACAATACATTTGAAGTGCAAATTATTAATTTCCCTTGAATTTCAAAACTGAAGACGGACATTTTTTTAAATTATGTGAAAATACAAAAAAAAAGGACAACTAATATAACAAACATATTTCCTCCTTAATGCATATAAAAATATATTAAATAAAATTGCCTAGAAATGTGAGTCAATTAATTTCGCAAAAAAGGAATTATTTAATAATTAATTTAATAATTAATATAAAAAAATAAGTTTTAATCCGAAAAAATTTCGTAAAAAATTATTTTAAATCAAAATAATATTTAACTGCAAATGTTAATTGAACAGCAGCAACAACAACAACAACAACTGTAATAATAACATTAATAACATTAATAGTAAGCAAAAAAAAAATAACATAAACAGTGACAACCAGCAGAGCTCAGCATTGGTGGTAACAGCAGAATCAGCAGAGAAAGCAGCTGCAGCAGCTGTAAGCAGCGGATATCAAAGGAAGTGTGCCAGAACATAATAATAATAATAATAACAACAACAACAATAACAACAACTAACAGAGAAGTACAATAACACAAGATAAGCCGAAGGCGCTTTAAAACCCAAGCATCACTCAATCCTATTAGAAATTAACTTTCCTTGTCTAATGCAATGCGCTTAATTATGCGCTTTCAACAAGAAGTTTCCAATTAGAAAGACAGACACATTGTAAGCGCAATTCGTCGCAGTTGCAGCGCAGCTTAAGAAAATTAATTACCAGCAGCTTTGAGTAACAAGCATAGAGCAAGCAGCATACAGCAGCATAAATCAAAAACAACAAAAACGCAAAAGTCAAGTAAAAAATCAAAGCAAGCGTGTCTTAATATAGAATCGTTAAAAAAAAAATTAAAACGAATACCGAAAAAACAAAAAAAACGTGAGGTTTTCTTCAGTTGCAGTCAGCAGCAACTGTAGCAGCGACTGTGGCAGCAGCTGAGCTGCAGCAAAATAAAAGCGTCGTGGTTTTTTTTTGAACATTTCTATTATCATTATTGGTATTAGTATTATTATTGTTATTTATTTTAACGAAAATTTTTGTTGTTATTTTTGGTTTCTTATTTTGAGTGTGTGTATGTGTGTGTGTGTGTGTGTGAATTGGGTTTGATATAAAATCTCTGATTATCATCGTTTTAAATTGGATTTAATCAAGAAAAACGGACGTTTAATTTCAAGAGTTCTTACTTTGCTCGCACACTTAAACAGTAATAACGTCTGCACACATGCTTACAAATAAATAAATAAATAAATAAAAAAAAATATATTTTTTTCTATACAAAACCGTTTAATGTAAATTCGCGCGTGCTCGTATCCGTGTGTTTTCTTCTTGTTGTTCTTGTTGTTCTTGTTGTGTTTGTTGTATTTGTGTGCATTCATATTAATAAGCTCCGCGCTGCTTTGTTTGTCGCATAGCCGCTGCTTTGTTGGTGCAAAGACTACAATATTTCACCTCTGCTGTTCTTGAAAATTGCACATATAAATTCTAAATACGTTATTATTGTTGTTGGTGGATTTTTTGTTGTTTTAGTGTTATTACCGCACAACCCCATAACCCCACCACCCTTACAAACTCCACCACCCTCAATTCCCCCACCTTAAACCATTTACATATTAAGAGGGTTTTTGTGTGAAAATTCCCAACACTTAAGTTTAAATAAAGTCAAAAGAACAACAAAAAAGAGAAATTAAAATAAAACAAAAAACAAAACAAACAGCTAAAAAACATCTAAAAAAGAGCTAAAAAATGGGTGGCGAAGACACTGCGACTGAGACGCAAACCGAAAAAGCGGAACACACGAAATTCGCAAAGTTCTGCCAACGCAAAGGCATCAATCCCAATCTGATAATGCTGAAGATTACTTTGTTCGTCATGTACGGAGGTGAGTTGAAAATGTTTTTTGAATTTTATTTCTACCAAATTTATGTCTAAGTTCACCTCTCTCTTTGCGTTTTACTAACTACCCAATGTGAACGCATGTATAACATTTCGAAACTTTTCGAGTTCGAATAGTTTCGAGTCATCTTGTCATTTTATAACACCTGTAGATTTTGCTATGAAGAGAGTAAAACATCCGCATATGCCATCCACTTGGCACCTAACGGGCGATTGGTTAAAAGGGTCTTATGAAGATACTAGATTTCTTTCTTGACAACTGTAGGTCACCAGCAAAGAACATGGCAGAATGTTTGCTCTACACTTTAGAAAATCTGAATGTGATACGTCCGGTTCTTTCAATTCCGTCTTCGAAAGATTATACCTAACCTGAAAGGTTCGGGTATGTCCAATTAAAATACAACTGATTAACTTCTGTTGAGATCTAATTGAACTAAGAAACCTGTCAGCTTATATGTTGCTGATCATATAACATATACATATCATATACATATCATATATATATATAAATCACACCCAAATTTCTACCCAAATTTTTCAGTACGAATGCACGGATGAGTAGAAAGTAAAATGACACAATTCCTGTTGCAGAAACTGAGAGTTTGGGGCTTTGACAAAATTGTTAGCATTAATTTCACATACCAGGACAAGATTTCACTCTTCAGTCTTCCGGGAATTATTTATTTAGATCTTATTTCTACAGCAATCCTAAAAAGATTAATTGAATTCAATTTTCTCTCCTTTCTGTGGGTAACTGACAATCCCTTTTCGTAAAATAATATCCTCATCAAATATCGATACATATTTCAATCCATTAATTTTAATAGAACACTGATACTGATAAGAGCTTGAAATATTGGTTTTGCATTTTAGTATCCATTATTGATTTGTTGTTTATTAAATAAAGACCATGAGATGGAAGAAAGAGCAAGTGATTCCATGGTTCAAGATATACCAGTGTTCATAAGGTTTAAAGACTGTTTACAACATTCTAAGATATTAAAATTTTTCAATTTTTCTTTGGGGTCTTTTATCTTAATAAATACCCGTTTGGAAAAGTAGCTCTAATCAGTTATAAATTGCTTTTTGTTCCTTATACCAAGAAATAAGCAATATTATCTATGGACTACTGAATATATTTGACATAACACGGTGTCAATGGTTTTAGGTTTAGATAAAAGTTTTGTTTGAAACTAAATCTGGTGAATGTGGTTAATATTTTGCTAACTGGTACTTCAATCAGTTGAATTCTATCATAGACAAGATTTATGCTGCCACAGTTATATCTCTCAGTTTTATTCGGTGTCTATCTAACATCACATAATGAACTTTATCAACAATTTGTCGAATTGAAATGGTCTCTGGCTGATACTGATTTCTTCTTAAGGGTGTGGAAGTCATAGAATTAGGGTTATTTATTTATAATTTAAATTAATATATAAAAATCTGCTTTCCTTTTGTTGCAAGAGGTTTTCCAAATAAAATATCTACCATAATGCAAAAGCTATGCAAGATCTTAATTAATGTATTACTCCAAAATATATGTATATCTAAGCTGACAATATTGTTCACCCAGTATCAATTAGCCGACAACTCTTTATTACGGTATTGGATATAATTATACCCAATACTACCAAGTTATAAATTTTTCCTCACATGTGTTTTCAAGTGAATCCATGAAATATGTATAGTAGACAAAGTATACATAATATATATACTAATAGTTGATGTTCATTTGTCTTCATCTTCTCACACCTCCAATTAAACTGAAGAACAAAATAACTGATATATCTGTCCAATTTTAATGGGGAATATCATGAGCCATTTGGTGTATAGCTTTTGACAATCTTCAAAGTCTTGTTAATGTGAAGATTTTAAGTTTTTCCGATGAAATATACGTTTAGATATTTGCGGATTTGGAGTAGATTGGTAAACGTCAATATGGTCCCATGTTTTAAAATTTCAGAAAGACTTTTTTGACGTAAAGTCGACATGTTCCATTTGTTTTCTACTAAAGTTTGTCTCCCTAAAGTTTGAACATCTTTTGAAGTCTAGACGTCTTTTCTTCAATATATTTCGAAATACCTAAATCAGTTTTTGGACTATATATTTGAGTGGGAAGCCATTGCTCGATTCAATGCAATACATATTTAAATAATTTATTTCTTTTTTGCGAGGCTGCTGACTACACCCATGTGTACAATTGGACGGAATATTCTTTGCACCTGATTATTTGAAATTTAGATTATATATCAGTCTGTACACAGATAAAAAAAGATTGTTTTGAATTTTTTTTTGTAATAAGGGACTTTGAGGCTAAGGAAACAATTAGGGACACAAAAACTAACTAACAACGTAAACAATATTTCTAATGTTAATATTAGTAATACTAGTAATATTAAAAGAATATGATATGAATAGCTAAACGTTTTAAAGCATGGCCAACTCTTATTCACTTTATTGGAATTGGGACAGACAGACAAACTGAGTCCAAATTTTGAGCTTAGTTTTTCCAACTGCTTGATTGCTTTAGTAATAAAAATAAACATCAAAAATAAATTATAATAAATACTTTTTATTCAATTTAAATAATACTTTTTCACAAAAAAATTGGGACTACTAAGTGGACATCTCTAAAATCGTGACTAATATAGATGGGCACTAGCTTATAAGTGGATGTGCTTTTGGGCTGCGAATTCTTTCCTAAAAATATTGTTGTGGTGATGAGAAAGAGGAAGAAACACCTCTTTTGCAACTGTACAGCTATAGCTAGAAGCAGAGCGAACTTGCTTTCTCACAGATATATTCAGTGTTAAGATCAAAAACACTCTACGCTTTATTAGTCCTCAAAATGGTTCCATAGTTGAATTGATATAGAGAGAGAGTTATATTCCCGTGTTGGTAGAGATATCAGATAGATAGACCGAAGGGTCTAAGTGAGTTTGCCACTTAGAGAGACTGCGACAGTAACTTAATCTAAGCTAATATTGTAATAAGTTTCAGAATTTTTATTCACTTCATTTCAAATTTTTTTTCTATGAACCTACTTTTCACTACTAGTTTCTATTTAGATTTCAAACAAAGTATTTCTAATAACTTCTAGCATTCATTTATTTAGATGCATATTCCAAGTACCACAAAGAATAAACGCTGCATCCAAGGAGCGCTACAAGAAGCTTCGATGCCAGCCAATTGTGTTCACATGTACTTCTGTGGTACTCGTTGCGTATGAGCGACTTATTCAGAGTACACTTGATGCCTGACCTTGAAAACACATTTTCAGTACATTCTTAAAGACTGGGACTTACGTATGAGTTACTTTCTAAATGGCTTGAGTGAAAGTCGATTTTGATGAGCAAAAATAAAATTTTATGAAATGTTTTTCCACTCTAGCAAAATACAGCAAAATCTCCTAAGCATCCTGACATTTCGTATTCATAATATTTATATAGACCACACACACACACACACACACACATCCCGCTACTAGGCTCCTCTATAGTTTTACTTAAATAAATTAAAAGTGAAATAGGGAAAAAAGTTAATAGCTAAAAATAAAATAAAACAAGTCTCGTTCAGAATTGCCATTGACCGTCATGTGTGCTGTAAATAAAAACGAAGATGATGGAGAAGATTGCGGCACTTTGCCTTTACAAATGTCGGTCGATCTTATTTATTTATACTTATATTTACTACATTTTATTATATCTCATTTTGTTTTTGCTCAAGTCATACTACATGTATCTGACATATCTGTATATACAGAAACTTATGGTCACATCGAGCGGTCGCGTCGAGCCAATGTGTAAGTTTACTAGGTTACTTGCCACATATCGTTCACTATTGTTGAGAAACATTGAAGTTCATAAACGATGCGGCACGGACGATGTGCGGAAATTGTGAGAATTTGAATAGTTCATGTAATGGGAACTGAATTTACTTTTAATTAAATTTCTTTTTAAAGTTTAAAGCTATTACATATTTGCTTGCTATCACGAAAACCGTCTGCTCTGAAAACCGTGAGCTCTGATTTGAGTTTTGGGCATTTGAGCGGCAAATGTTTTGCACTTAAGTGTGGCTTCGCATCGAGTTACTTTGCTATATTAAAGTATATTTATATTTATATTAGTAAAACAAGCCACTTAATTGCTACATGCAGGGTCTAAAATTACTATTTGATGTATCTCCACATATATATCTAAACGTTCTTGCGCAAATACCTACACACATGTATATGTGCATATGTGCAATATATTTGTACTTCTAAATTTATACAAATGTGTGGTATTTTGTGCCTAATTGATAACTTCCGAATAGGAAAAAAAATCATTATGCAAACACAGATTTATATATACACACACACACACACACATTGACCGTATCTACACATGTATATATGTATATATATATAAAAATTATAATAATAAAAGATGGTTTCAGCAGCTCATATTCGAATTTGCCACTCCACGAATTTACTGCTCTGAGTAGTCGCTTGACTGATGACGAGTATAGATTGCCTAGGCAATGTACACAAGCCAACCAACGAAGCCTTTCGAGACTGTGGATGCATTAGACATTAGGCTGCCGTCCGTAGCTGATAGCCAGTCGGCCGTGGGCAAACTGATGAGTTGAGTCAAATTTACGGTTGAGATGAATATCTACAAAATCAGAGTCATTGTCACACACAGTCGGAAAGATATTTGCGGCCACATTAAACAATCCCCCCCGTACACAATGGCAGCACATCCATAGACAATAATACATTCATGCTTGTGTTGTTGTTGTGTTGTGTTGTGTATTTGTTACTATATTTGCTACTAGCCATTGTTTTGATTTAGTATGGGATGATAAGAAAATATTTCGAAAACAAGCGTACAGATTTTATTATTATACTAGAATGTATCTTACATGCCTGCATTTTCAATGTTACGATTACAACTAGAAATATAACTAGAAAAATAGAAAAAATAGAAAATAGAAAATAGA